CCTCTCCTGCCTCCCTACACAAGTTCCCCCTCCAGCTTTCTTCCTCTTTGCAACACAGGGTCCTCTTATGCTCAGGTCCCTCCTCTGTAATGGTCAGTTGAGGGTCATGTGACTGTAGCACCTGACTCTCATTTCCAATATGCTAATGATTTTTCTTTAATTACTTCTTTCTTAAAGCAGTTGAGTCATAATGTGGACTGTCCCCTATTTTCTACTGCTTTTAACAATATCGGTTCAGTACTCTCCACAATCAAAGGGTCACACCAGATCTAAACTAGAGTTTTGAGGAAGCTTCGGACCTTAATTCTGACTTAAGCTCTCACCATCGTTCCTGTGAAGGCATGCTCACCTGCTACAGCTGGAACTGCCCTTGCAAAACAACCAGGGTTTTTTTCTGTTACTTCTACGCTTGCCTTTAGATTGTGTACAAATGGGAAGATTCGATTTGCAAAGCGTTGTATGACTATTCGTTATTGTGCCCGAATTTTCCCCATTCTCCTCATCCGAAGATGTCCTAAATCATAAAGCAAACTTCAGCAATAACTCGAATTCCAATATATTTTGCATCACAGACATACGTACGCAAGTCTGTATTTTCTCCACACGCTCAGTGAAGAAACGGGAAATGTCTCGGCTCCACTGAAGATCAGTCCTAGAGCCACATTATAAATACATGAACCTTATCCAAAAAACTCTACCCGTAATCAGTCTGAGTTTATTTTCTAATGAACGCTGCAAATCAGACATTGTTTTCTTGACTTTGCTGCAGCACACGGCACTGTGTAATGCAATGATTAAGAACCTCTAGCGTATGGTCTGCGGCACTGTCCTAAGCCCTGTGGAACGTGCCTGCATGTTACTGAGCTCGGGGGGATCTGGGAGGCTCTGAACTCCATGCTGTCCCTGTTCCCTACCCTACCGGTCAGACTCTCAGAGATATTCTCTCTTTTTCCTCAGACTTTCATCCTCTGAAAATTTACACGGTGCTGGATCCTGAGATGCTCTGAGCACACACGAGTCTCTGGCAAAATTCAGAGAAGAGCTCGGCAGCAAATTTTTTTGTGTGTAAACTGCAAGATCTATTTGAAAAAAAAGCTGGAAGTAAACTGCACTTCAGGACTGTCACTATTACATAGTGTACTGCCTAAATACAGTGTAATGTACTACTAAACTAAGATAAATATTCCTGCTTCATAGCAATCGATGCTGAGTCATCATTACGAAGCAAAAACCTCCTAACGTTAAATTACCTTCATGCTAGGCTGGATATGGGTTAAAGCGCGCTCCTGTAAATACCTTGCCGTTGTCTAGGTAAACACTTTAGTGGTTAAAAAAAGTAGCCCAGATTTCTAGGTATCATTCTCTTCACGCTCGCCAACAGAAAGTACAAGTTTTTCACACACTACTCTGCTCTGGGGCAGTAAATGGCAGTTACTTTAAGGAAGAATGATGACCCGTGCTAGCCAGC